ATAATAGTTAAAAGAACAGAGGCCCAAGGGTAAAGATGAGAATAATCACCTTCAACATTCCGAATTATCAGCAGCCTCAGATCAGAACCAAGAGGAGTCTAAACTCCATTGCCTGTTTTACATTTAATATAGGTTCATATAGAACTGGCTACTACATCAACAGAAAACCTTTTCTTTCCTTTTAAGCATGAGGGTCTACTCCATGTGCTGAATGCTAGGAAAGAGTGTGATAAACCCAAACTAGATAAAATAAAAACCCTTCCTCTAATTTGCATCTCAGATTCAAGATGTGAGACACGAATCTCACCATGTATGTAGTGGACACAGAACTATAAACATCACAGAGTCTAAAAAAAAAAGATACAAGCAACGAATGCACACTATAGGAAAAAGGGAAGAGGTGGACAGGAGAGGACACTCAGACTTAATCTGAAATAATCATGAATTTCTCAAAAGGAATTTCTTATCTAGTACCACCACCACCACCAAATCAGGTATTCAGTCCAAGATAAATACTTACTAACACATCTCTTTTGAAATAACTATCAAAGTTAGAGGGTTAAGGTTTTGCCTTTCCGGGCAAGATAAATACAGGAAACATCACAAAGGTGTGCTATTAAAATTCTCTAAGCCTCAGTTTACTCACCTGTAAAAACAGGTTTGTAGGAACACAATATAATGATGTGTAGAAAACAACTGACAGTTCCAAGCAAGTGACAGGTTCTCTCTTGATTGAGACAGAGTATTACTTTACATCAATAAAGTTTAACTATTCAACTTTTGTTACCATTTTTGTACATTCTAGTTGACTTCCTATACCTGGCTTATTTTTTTTTCTTTCAGAGAAAAGAACTGGTCATTGAGTAAAGAACTGAAAAATCTTAAGTTACTGAGATTCTTCTCTTAATAAAAATATGCTTTTAATTTTAGCTATAGTAAATTCACACACTGATTTTACACTGGAATTTTTCTAATGACTATCCATGATTCTATTTAAATCTTGTCAGGCCATCTTTTGAGTGTTATTTTTTAAATGACGCTGAAATATAATTTCAGGTTTACTAAAATATAATTCATATGTCATAAAATTCACCTATACAAACTGTGTAACCCAACGGGTTTTAGGATATTCAGTGAACTGGCAGCCACTGGCTCAAACTGTGCTTACCCAAAGAGACCTCACACCCATTAGCAGTCACTTCCCATTTTCACAAAACTCTTTCCATGACCCCTATCCTGTTCACCCACAGCCTCAGGCAACCACTAATTGTTTCTCTGTCTCAACTATAGATCTGCTTGTGCGGGGCAGTTCATACAAGTGGAGTGATGCAATGTGTGGTCTTTTGTGACTAACTTGATCTTGTTTCAAGGATCATCCATATTGTAGCACACCCCAGTACTTGCTTTTCCTTGCTTAGTGATGTTGCACTGTGTACGTATATGTATGTATGTATGTAACATCCCTTCAGCAGTTGATATACATGTGAGTGAGAGGCTCCCACTTCTTGTCTATTCTGAATAATCCTGCTGTGAACATTTACATACAAAATTGTACGTGGGCTACATTTTCCAATTCTCTCGGGTAGGTATTTTCATAGAAATTGAATGGCTGGTCACATGGTAACTGTCTATCTTTTTAAGGAACTGCTGGACTATTTTCTCAAGTGGCTGCACTGTTGTATAATCCCAGCAACAGTACAGAAGGGTCCCAGTTTCTCCAGATGCTCATCAGCACATGCTAGTTTCTGTGCCTACGCCCCGGGTTCTCAGTGTTCATCTGATCTGTATTTCTTTGGTGACTAATGATGCTAAGCAGCAGTAAATCTGCATATTGGCTGTTGGTGTGTCTTTTTTGGAAATATCCCTGTTCAATTCTTTACCTATTTTTAAAATAGCTTACTTTTTTATTTGTTGAGTTATAAGAGGTTTTTTTACATATTTTAAATACAAGTCTCTTATCAGATACATGTTTGAAAATATTTTCTCATTCAATGAGGTGAATTTTTACTTTATTGGTATCCTTTTAAACTTTTGATTTTGGTGAAACTATTTTTTTTTTCTTCTGTTGCTTGCTTTTTTGTGTTTTATTTTGAAAAAAAAAAATGCTTCACCCAAGGTTAAAAGATTTATGCCTATATTTTCTTCTAGGAATTTTATAGCTTTACTTCTTTTAGATCTTTTAACCCTTGCAGAGTTAATTTCTTATGTCATGAGGTATATATGCACAATTTGTTGAAAGACTGGTTTTTCCCCAATTGAATTGTCTTGGTACCTTGTCAAAAATTTAATTTACCATTGATGTGAGATTTTATGTTGATCAGTGTGTCTTCAATATTTTTAAATAATTCTTTATTCCTATATTTGTATACAATAAAACTTTGTATCTATAGAAACACAAGAAAAAAAAAGTAAAAGACACATTAATCCTGCTGCAGTAGAAGGAACTACTAATCCCAATTCTTCAGTCTCCTGTAGTAACATACACCTTCACCTTTATAAGTGGAGTGTGCTTTGGGCGTGGGCCACATGACAGTGAGCTTCACCATACCATTTACTGTGACCTCACTGACGTCATGGGTAGAAGCTTAAAATGTGCTTGTGCAGTTGGTCTTTCTTTCTTGTTTGTTCACTATCATCATGAAAGAAATATGCTCGGGTAGCCACTGGTTCCAGATGATTGGTAGAGGCTTGGAATAAACCTGAGCCCACTCTGTGAGCTGGAGGTCAAACCCAGGACTGACCAAACACAATCAAAATTCAGACATGCAGGTGAGAAATAAATGCTTATCACTGTTTACCGCAGACATGCTTGTGGTTGTTTGTTCTGTAGCAATAGCTAATATACTTACCACTTAGAGATAATCTATCAGTCTTAACATCTGACCAAGAGTGAGCTCATGAGAAAAAGCTGTGTGAACATTGTCCTGTTGTTTTTACTTATTATTTTTCTATAATACCCTGTGTTACTAAGAGTTTTCAATAAACACTCCTTTTAAAATCCATGTCTCTCACTGTTAAGAAGTTATATGTGTCTCTTAACCATCTTTATATTACTTTTACAAGTAATGGTACAATGAATTTCATCTTCTCTGTTTTATATAAATCTTGGTCTACATTTCACATTATTTCCACAGAACAGATTCCTAGAAGTAGAAGGCTTTAAAAAGCTCATTTAACATAAGCATGGGAGAGATCTACTGAATCTTTATTTCTATGTTACTACTATTCAGATTTTCACCTTTGCTAGTTGGCTAAGCTCACATTGTCTTGCTTCTTAAGGGATACAGACAGATTTCATTTTATTTTTTAAAAACATCTTTTGTGAAATCTTCTAACATGTTGCACTGTAAATGCTGCTGGACATTTACATTTTATTCTAAACAGCAAAACTAATGCCATAAAAATGACACAAATTTTTGCATCTTTTGTTTCCTTTGGGCTCATACATGAGCATGGAGGAAAAGTATAAGTGCATGGTTTGTGGGGCTTTAGGGATAAGGGCCTTGTGGGTAGACCATCATACAGTCAAGAAGCGGTAATTTTCAATAATTCTTCCGCGTGCCTGGCATCTTGCACAACTGTATTCGGTGAGTGTGTTTGTGCTTGCATGTGTGTGGAGGGTGGGGAAAACATCAGAAATATAGGGAACATGAAAGCACACTTTCAAGCCAAAAACTACTGCCCTTACAATGATTAATAAGCATATTTAAGCTTCTCTGATCACAAATAGGCTACAATTAAAACCGGATGTAGGCCGGGTGGTGGACACTATGTCTAAACTTTTCTGAGTACCTCTTAGCAAAGAGATGTTCCTTATTTTATTTCCCATTTCCCCAGGGAAAATCACATTTTTCAGGTCATCAAACAATGATTGATCTGGTTCCATTTTGGCAACTGCTGAAACGGTTACCTTGGGAACACCGAGAATATACACTCACTACCTACACAGCCCAGCCCCTGAGCCTTGCAGAGTTTTGTTCATTAGGCTCATTTTTTTTCCATCATTTTTCAAACAGGAACATTGGTCTAACCTCGGCAACTGGCCCCGTAGGTCTGCTGGGAAGGACCTTAGCCCCTCTACTACCGAAGACCCACACTCTGGTTTGCTTTGGAATAGAGAATCCTACAGCGTACATCCCTAGGACTGAGCCCGAAACTTCCCTTTCAAATGCAGTTATTAATATCTGGCTCAGATAATGCGTTAAGCACCATTCTTATCTATTCTCCCCTAAACCACATTTTGTTTTTCTTTTTAAAAAAACTCCCACCTCTGCAAGTCATTCACCTTGAATTTCCTAGAATGATACCAGCAGAAATGGAACAAAGCACAGGAAAATCCAAATAGGTCTGCATAAACGCAAGCGTGCTACGGACACCTGGGTACTACAGTGGGGTTTGGGAAATGACAAATGGAAAAGTTCATAGAGCGCGCCACAAACCAGCATTGCCACTATCAGTTTGTGACAGTGCGTCCATCCAGGCTATAGACTCCAGCAATTTACCACACTCAGAACATCTGAGCATACACACAGACATACACACACACACCCCTACTTGAGTGTACAAGATCTTCAGAATGCCCTTAGTCCTTCAGAGCCCTTCTAATGCTTGAGAATTACTCTTCATGCTCGGAATGGAGGGAGAAGCACGTTCCCAGGGCCTATTTCTTGTCAAACCTAACGCCTAATGTTAATAGGTGACGAGGTACAATAGCTAGTCTATCCAATGAGGCACATTGAAAAGTAGACATACAATGCTTTAGAGTGGTCATAGAGGATTTGATTACCTTGTTGCCAGGAGCAGAAGTTAATTTCTAGCCCCCAAAGTGAGCAAACCAACTCTGAAAGAAGGAGAAAATGCAGACAAGACAGTTATCAGATAGTCCGTATCTGCACGAGAGAGATCCTCTCCTTTGACAGCAGTCTAGTCATTGGGAGTTCCAGTAAGGCTGGTCTATAATTGTTGTCTTCTTACAAATCTTCCTCATTATTTGCTTAAAGAAGTCACATTGCTATTCAACTGCAGAAGAAACTGCCTGTGATGATGAAAGACAAAGAACCTCCTCAAAGTCAAAAAGCAAACCAAGAGATAAGGTTCGTGTTCATTGCCCAGCTGCCGCCTCGGATTGCATGGCCTCTGCACTTCTCGGTAAGTGGGAATCGAATGCTTGACTCATTTTAGGGTGAGCAGATAACTAACACTTTTCTATGACACAGGTTGTGGTTAGATCCTAGGGAGGACAGGAAAAGTGAGAAATAATGACTTATGAATAGAACAAATTTTTAAATAAAGAAAAAGGAAGAACAAAATCCCTCGTGACTGTTAGACGAGACACAACTAATAATGATGCTACCAAGTTGTATTAGGCTGAACAGGTTCTGGACCTAGTTTTATATTTTTTTTTCTTGATTAAGTAACAGATATACAAACCTGTGCCAAGGTGAATTCCACTAAAATAACACCTATAGTTTAGTCAATGCTTATAAAAGTATGAGTCATTTATTTTTTACTGCTCCAGATACTTTATATAATTAAAATGAGAATATATTGTTTGCCAAAATTTCCCAGAAAATATGTGAGCTTAGAAAATAGGGTATAAGGTATATTCATGAAGAAATTTCACAGTTAATTTTACAACTTACAAATGAAGAAATAATCACAAAAAGGAAATGATGGCATTATGTATAACTGAAGGCATTCTACTTTTTGTTTCTCCTGGGGGTTCTTGAATTTCCAGAACTGTTTTATCTAAAATGTACAAAAAGTTGCTGAAAAGTCTCACTTAATTTAATGCTTACCAATTCAATCAGTTACCCTGACCAAGGAAACTTTCTATGTAGACAGAAGAAATGTGTGAAGTAGAATGAAAAAACAAACAAAAAGTACAAAAAAAGTAGAGGAAAGCCAAATCAATATTTTAAGTCAAATACATGAAAAGATACTATGTTTTTACAGCTATCCTAACATATTTGATATTCAATTTAATGAATTACCAGAGGGAATGATTCCTATTTCATATGAATATATCATCTTTCATATTTATCAAAACCAAATTAATCTATGTAGCTATTTATTAAAAATTTGCATTTTGAAATGCTATAAAAAATTTGGCAACCAAATCACCCCATTGTTTACATTATTTGAAATGCTGGGTGAGAAAATTTTTAGGCACAGGACCAGAGAGACCAGGATTAATTACATGCTTCCCATTCTGCCCCTCCTCTGTCCTAATTGCTGTGAGCATACACAACTTGCCTTATCAGGGTTGTGTACGGATTTGCCTCAGTTCTGCACTGGGCCAGAGACACTGAGCTTCTACCCTGTGTGTCATACGTGCTGGATGTAGGGCTACAGCTGTGAGCACAGATCTGATCCTTGGTCGTCCACAGACAGGTATGCCCACCACTGGGGGAACATCGATGCTAGAGGTGTGACCGGTGGGAAGATGCTCAGCTGTTGAGACGTCTGTAGCAAACTTTTTTATCCATCATCCAGGGGTAGCACTGTTTACACCTGGACTAACAGAGTGTTTTATGTGTCTTGTCACAATTTGAGCCCACATATGATAACTTAGAACTATTTCAGAAAAATTAAGCAGAAGTCCAGTGGTGGTAAAGAAAATTGCATAAGTAGCTCTTATTACTCATTTATATTTTTTGGAGTATGCCTGGTTTTTTGGGGGAGTAATGCAGTCTACTTTGTTAAACATGTCATTTGGCTTATGTATTCATTCTTTTCCCCTCAAGAAATGGGTTTTATTGCTCATTACACCATACAGGACAAAAAAGGAAGTAAACACTACTTTTAAGAGACTAATAGACCATGAATCCTTTTAGTAGCTTTTCAATTTCTACCATGAGGTTGAACTTGGAATTATGTCACCACACCTAACTCTAAAAAGCTCTAAAAATAGGGCTGCAAATACAACTTTGCTTGTAAAATGAATGCCCTAGGCTGAAAAATAAATTGAAAAGAGGGGAAAATTTTATAAGTCTGCACTTCAGAAGAATTTGAATTCTCAAGAACACTGGGGAAATCCATTGCCGATGGTGAAAATTTTACTTATTTGACTTTCTAGAAACATCTGTGTAAGAGAACTTATGCTCCCGTCTTTTCTTAAATTTCTGACCCTCACACTCACAACAGGCTGGATTCTCAGACGGTGTTTGAAGAATTTTAGGTTGGCGCGATGTGATGCCGCAGGAGCAGTCATTCCTGATCGCTTTTAAAGACCCAGCTCGTGTTCCTGACTAATTGTAGGTAGGCAATCTATGTTCGCTTCATTCTACTTAATTTAAATTTATTTTCACAATTTAATAGTTTTCTGTTGGATTGTGATAGCTATGAAATTGAATACATTGTCATTTTGAGATCGTGTATCTATATATAATATATATAATGTGCATATATAAACAAAGATAGTAAATCAGCTGTATTAGCTGTATTCTTCTGCACTAAAATATGGCCCAGTTGGCATCTACATAATAGTGTATCTTTGGATTAAAAAGATGGCTCAAACAGGTGTATTTTTTTTCTCTCAATGAGGATGATTGCTGTGTAGGGAACCAGAAGTTTTAAGAGAGTCATAGGCCAGGTAAGGAGTGCTTTCAAGGAATAGTGCAGAGATCAAAATTGTAGAAAACATGAAGTCAAATGCTGAAGCTCCCCTGAGGCTCTGTATTACCCAGCTCTATGAGAAGTTTATTTCTAAAAAATGTGTTAATCTTCAGAACATTTACTGAGTATCTCGTGTCATCAATAGGACAACGGTTGTCAGAGATGCACTATTTGAATAGAAAATACCAGTGAGATATAAAAAAGTCTCATTATTTTTGGCAAAACTTAAAATTTTTTGAACGATTTAATATAAAAAATTCCATTATCAGCAGCTATAAAAGCAGAATATGTGGCACATGATAAGGGAGAGTGCTTACTTATGTAAAATATTCAATATCTTCCCTGAGATATAAAATGGTTGTGTTATTTACTTCAACAATTGTGAAGGATAAACAAATACTTTTTATTTTTGCAAGTATGATTCTAACATACTTCTTACTTTGCCAGTCAACAAAAGTCACTAGGGAGAATTAATTTTGCATTTTTTTCTGACCTAGAATTTTTGTTAATGAAAATTAGTGTAGCTAAAGTATAGTCAATTTCATTTCAGGAAATGCTGACATTTTAAGACAGCACTTTCATAATCTGAAGAGGAAGCTATCTTTGTTTTTGTTAAGGGGATTTCATCTTTGTTTCCTAGGCTTAGTTAATACTAAAGTTTCCTCTTAATTCATTAAAACACGTGCTTGTTAAAAATTTAGAATAATTACAGTGCTCGCTGTGATTATCACTGTGGGTCTAACAGTGATATTTTGTTGTGGGTCTATTTTATTTTTTAAATTTATTTACTTTATTAGTATATGTTTGTAGCACATAATGATCACGTTCATCTTGGCGGATTTGTACCTGGCCATAACACGTCTTAATTCTTTTCTTTTTTTGACCCCTGCCTCTCCTGTCCCTCCAAGCCCCCTCTATCTCCTTTACAAAAGTTCTAAATTTGGGGCCACATTCTATAATTACCAGTTGTTTGCTCGTTGGCAAATTATTTAACCTTGCAGACTCATTTCCTTCATGGATGGGAATAAGCCCGTGGAAGACATTTCCTACACAGATAATAAGCAAATGTACCAGGCACCAAATCACAAGTGTGCACGTGGGGGCAGGCAGAACTGCTGTCCTTAAAGCAAACCTGCGATGAAACATGGCTTACAAAATTTGCAGAGAGTATAACTCAAGATATCTCAACTACAGTTCCCAGCAAGTCATCCTCACTCCTTTCTTTGATCTATAGACGATATAAAACAAAAGATGCGATTTTCCCTTTTTCCCAATGAGTAATCACATGTACCTTCCTACTGTCAATTCATTCTCATTGTCTAAATAAGTTTTAAGGAAGTATAAATATTGCTTTTACTTTGTACATCTATAACTCTATTTTTCTGTTCTTTTGTGACCTGTTCCCTATAATTTGTCACATATTCTGATTTTATAGCTGCTGAAAATAGTATTGTTTTAAAAATTTAATTATTCAAAAATTTTTAATTAAGTTTCATGAGAAATTTTTACATCTCATTGGTATTTTCTATTCAAATAGTGCATCTGTAACAATATCAGTTGTCCTATTGACAACACAAGATAATTCAAAAAGAGTAAATATTGCCAAGAATAACAACTTTTTGCAATCCTGTTTCACACAAAGCTGAGTATCAGAGAGTATCAGTGGAGCTTCAGTACTTGATTTTATGTTTTGTATAAACAAGCCCAGTGAGCACCCCTCATCTGGTCTGTAAATCTCTCAAAAAAATCAGCCTCTTCTAAATACAGTATATACCACATTTCTAACACAAAGCTTCTTCTCCCCACATTATAAACTGTTATAGATTTAAATTTGTCATCAGGTGTCTTTGTGTGTATGTGTATGTGTGTGTGTGTGTGTGTGTGTGTGTGTGTGCACGTGCACTTTGGGGACTGAATGTCAGGCCTTGTACCTTCTAGGCACACACTATACCTCCAACCTCCAACCTCGGCCCATGGCTCATACTTAAATATTAACACAAGTGGTAATGCTTTTGTCTTTAATGAAATGTGCCTAGCACACTTCCAGTGCCAAAGTCCTCTTGGATCTCCTGCTGAGCACCGATGGACCCTTTACCGTTTGCTTTCTTCTCTCCAACTGTGCACATTCAGTGGATTCCCCCAGGAATGCCTGTCTTGCTTCATAACGTTACATACTCTAGTTCACCCTTCCGGGGTGTCTTTGCTCCCACCATGTCCCACACATGTCTCTAATGGGACAGTTTTAACTGATCTACAGTTACTGATTTACATTTCACACTCCCCCCAGACTATGGCTCTACTATGGAAGAGCAAAGTCCAACATTTGTGCATTCAAAAGATATGTCTTGTTTGTTAAGTGGCCAAATACCGCTATCTTGTGTTAGAAAGGGACTGTCAGTTTTTCTTAGAAATTAAAACACGATGATTTGGATTTTCCTATCCTATTTTCTGTAGGTTCTGATCATCATGATGCCTGTCTTCCTGATTCTTTTGGGGGCTGTGGAGACACTGCAGACAGACTTACTTCCTGACAAAAAGTGTAAGGGCTTTCTAACCAATAATGTTTGTTTTTTTAAAAAAACTTAGTATATCACAAAAAAACTTAGTATATCACAAAAAGGTAGGCTACTTGCCTCTTAAATACACAATTTGGAAGAAAAATTTTGGAAGAACATCCTTATCAGAAAACACATTATTCAATATGCCAGTTTTAAGACAACATTGTTGGGAGATATTTAAAGTTGTGCTGCAGTAGGAAGTCCAATTTCAAGTGTGCATGTACAGGCACTATGCACTGGTAGCCACTGTTATGATATCCTCCCATACGAGAGGTTTCTTAGAAGACCTCACAACAAATAATTAGTAGTTTTGATCTGAAAGTTGCTGATGTATGGGTCTGATATGACGACAAAAACTGTCACGTGGTCCTGAGTTAGTATGGTCTAATAGATTTTTGACAAGGGCAATATTCTATCACTGCACTGACCAACAAACATAGCAGCCACTCTTCATGTTTCACTATTGAGCACTTGAAATATGCAGAGTATAGCAAACATTTGATTTTATTTAAATGAATTTAAATTTAAGCAGCTGCAGTAGCCAGTGGTTAACATAATGTACAGTACAGACAGAGCCCTAAAAATTCTTATATGACAAGTGGGATGCAGACGTGTGGAAGGCCCTACCAGATCAGTGGAAAATCCTGACAACTGAGTGAGTAAAAAAAGGTTCATAATGGTGTGGACAATACTGTACTAATTTCATTTAAAAATTAAAAATGTGTATAAATATACATACTGAAGAATATAGTGAAAATATGTCTTTATCAACAGTGACTACAAGAAAGTTTTATTTTCTTTTTCCTCTCATTACAAATTTTTTATAGTGATTAAATATTAGTTTTGTTTGTGTGTTTTCTCTTTTTGAGACAGGGTCTTGCTATGCAGTTCAGGTTGGCCTTGAGCTCACTTTGTAGCTCAGGCTGGTTTCAAACTCACAACGATCCTCCTGCCTCAGCCTCCTGGGTGCTGGGATTACAGGCATGAGCCACCATGACCAATTAAATATTAGCTCTGTAATTAAAGTAAAGCTTCTATGTTGAAAACAAAGAGTGGAGCATGAAGGGGGAAGCTCTTTTCTTTGAATAAAAGCCTATTTAAGTAATTACATTCACAAATACTTCTGATTGACTCAAAAAATACAATTTATATCATGGACTTTTGCACATAAATATATATTTTATTGCATAATGCAGACAAGAGGTTGGTGAAGCAGCTCTTATTATGTTTGATGCACTTTAGTGTTTTTATTCTATTTTTCTTCCATATCAATAAAAAGGCCAGTCACAATCCAATAAATTATTATCATAGCACATTAATGGATAATTACCCTCATTTTGAAATCCATAGTTAAAAATAAAGATGTACTAACATGTTTGTATTTCAATAAAAACCATTTGAATATGATAGGCAAATACCCAAGCAAGGTAAAAAAAAAAGATGTTTAAAAGCAATCTTAAAGAAAATTCTTCCTAAATTATTTCAATATTTTACAGGCTAATAGCCTAATAAAATAATATGATACACAATTAAATATTTTTTTAAAAAATTTAAAGTGCTATTTATAAACAGTCAATTGTTATGATGTTTCTTCTTCTTTTTTTTGAAATCAACAGTTTTACTTCTCCCACCCATGAATTTCACAATTAAAGTTACTGGCTTAGCTCAAGTTCTTTTATACTGGGAACCAAATCCTGATCAAGGGCAAAGGAATGTCAATCTAAAATATCATGTGAAAATAAATGCCCCACAAGAAGAGGATGTAAGTATTTATTCTAGTAGCAGTTGTTAATTAGAGCAAATAGTCATTTTATTTCTATATTTTGTTTACCAAATGAGATTTTAAATAAAAAGACAATTAGTAGAAAGCTTAGTATCTTGGTGGAAATTGTTAATTAGTGCAATGTTCATTATTTGGCACTGAACAACAGCATGTAGTGGTCTTCCTTTTGGACAATCTTTCCCTTATGAAAGAACATTTAATAACTTTTTAGGTACAGTGGGTTAAAAACTGGTTTTATGTTTCTTCTCAAATGGAAAGAACGACACAGTAGAGTAGCCTAATGAAGTGGGCAGTGGGTGGGTCTAGGGTTAGAGAAACCAGCTGCAAATCCCAGTTCACTCACTTCCTGTTTGTGCCAGAATGGACCAGTCTCTTGACTTCGAGGGGACTCAGGTTTACTATAGGGACTGTCAGAACACCTGCTGCATAGTAGGTGCTTAATTAAAACAACAGGAAAGTGATTTATATTAACTGTTTTGCAGTAAAGATTTCCAGTAAAAAAAGTTCTTAAGAAAAGAGTGACACTAGAAACAAGAATCAAAGAAAATTTCAGCCTTAATAGCAGTATTATCTTTCTTTTTATAAGGAGAATGTATTCATATGTCATTGAAGAGTGATGTAATTATTACAATGGTTTTAATTTTTTCTACCAAAACTACTGTCACTGTATTTTACTTATGTGTAATTTGAAAAGTGAAAGTAAAGGAATATTTGATTTTAAATTGTTCGGTTAAGACTATTTCTCTCTTATGTGCTTTGACTTGTGGGTTTTATTTTTAGTATGAAACCAGGAACACTCAAAGCAAATGTGAAACCACCTTGCATGAAGGGTTTTCAGCAAGCGTGCGTACCATCCTGCGGCGCGGCCACTCCTTGCTGGCCAGCAGCTGGGTTTCTGCTGAACACAAAGCCCCGCCAGGTAAAAAAAAAAAAAAGCCTCTAAATGTCTGGTTTTGTGTTTGTGACTTTTCAAAGCGGTAAAGCCGATGAAAGAGTAACAATTTTCTCTTCTTTAGTCAGTCACCAGTTCCCGAGGGTACTCCTTCATATCATCTACACCCTGAACAAGGCTGTCCTCGCTTATTATTATGACCCATCCAATTCTGTCAGGGACATCCCTGCAGGAACGTTTGCTGTCTCTACTTTGGCCACAGTGGAAAACTGGTGCTTCTGATCCTTAGAACTACTGGTCCAGTGAGGTAGTGATACTTCTGGAAACACATACACACACATGCACGCATACACACACAGAGAGAGAGAGAGAGAGAGAGAGAAGGGAGGGAGATAGAGGGGAAGGGAAACAAAGACTGAAGGAAGTAAAGAAAGAGGGGGAAGGGTAAGGGGAGGGGGGAGGAGGGAAAAGCAGGGGAAGGGAGGGAGGGAGAGGAGAGGGAAGGGGAGGGAAAGGAAGGGAAGCAAGCCTTCAGGCCCCGGGACATGTGAGCGCACCTAATAACTGTTTCCATCTACATTACCCATGGGTATTTTGCAGATTATTTTCTTGTCCACGTTACTGGATGAAAATATCGCCTCCTGTGTTAAGTCAGGTTTCTGCTACTCTCACAGATACCTGAGATAATAGACTTATAAAGAAAGTGTATTTCATCTCATGCTTTCAGGGCCGCCATCCACGCTGGCCCCACTGCTTTCAGGCCATGCCGCGAGGTACTGTATCACAGCGGAAGTATACGGCAGAGGAAAATGGCTCCCCTCATGGCCTAGAGGCAAAAGAGAGAAAAAGGCAAGGGTCCTGCTGTCCCCTTGAGGTCCCAGCCTCAAAGACCTGAACACTTCCCACTAGACCCCAACTCTTAAAAGCTCCACCATTCTCCAATATCACCATTGGCTAAACTATTCAGAAAACGAATTTCCACTTTTTCTTTTTCTTTTTTAATTTTAAAAATAAAAGGGGGAAAACATTGACAGACAGACAGCCATTTACAAAATAGCAAAAGAACAATACAAACAATATAGAGTTACAAAGTGGTAGGAAATTAACATTTCTTGTATTATATATTGATATCTTCAAAGTGGTTTCTCATGAAAACAGAGGCAGGCAATATTGATCAATCAAGGACTCATTAACTGTTTCTTTCAGCAAAGAAATAGAAGACAGTAGATCAACTAAGTTAACTATCCTATATACACATATATACAAAATTTCTCCTTCTTTCCCTTCTCTTTTCCCACATCCCAGTTGCCCTTCACCCTTGAGCATTTTCCTTTCATTTCACAATGTCTATCATACTTCCAAGTTTTTATTAACTCTTTCAGGTTTTACACTAGTGAGACAATGCAGTGCGTGCACATGCAGGTCTGATTTATTTCACTTATGAGTATGGTCTCTAGTTGTGACCATTTACCTATAAAATCCTCGAGTTTATCTTTCTTTATAGCTGAGTAATATTCCATTATGTAAAAGTACCACAATTTTTTTATCCAATCCTCGGTGGATAGATATTTG